CCCCCGCGGCAGCTCCCCGCCCCCCGGCCTGGCGATCTGTGTGGCAGCTCTGATCCAGGGGTTCCCCTGGGCTGCCGGCAGCGCGCTGACCCGGGGGTTCCCCTGGGCTGCCTGCCATCGGCTCAGATTCCCTCTCCGCAGCTCAGACTTCCTCTCCGCGCAGCGGCCGCTGTTAAAAAAAAAATTAAAAATTGGGGGCGCCGCTTTTTGGCGCCTCCAAATCTTGGCGCCCTAGGCAACCGCCTAGTTGGCCTAAATGGTAGCACCGGCCCTGCCCCCCCCTAAATAATAAAAAGTACCATGTTACCCGGTGTAGATTAGTGCTCAGGTGCAGCCCGAGCTCTGGGACCCTCCCACCTCACAGGGTGCTAGAGCGCAGGCTCCAGCCTGTGCCTGAACTTCTACACTGCAATTGAACAGCCCCTTAGCATGAGCCCCATGAGCCCGAGTCAACTGGCACAGGCCAGCCATGGGTTTTTAATTGCAGTGTAGATATACCCTAAGTTTGTCTCACCCACTTTCCAGATTCCTCAAAAACAGTCTTCTAGGTACCAGCTAAGATGAACTCTGTCCTCTTGGAGTCCATCCATCCAGAAATCCATTTCCAGAAAAAAATCAAAAGTTCTTTCCACCTCAGGAAGCAGCGATTAACTCTCTAGGTGGAAAGGGGCCAGGCCTCTGTGGACAAACACTGCAATGCAGCTACCTAACTGTCCTTGCATATTTCTACATGATGTTACTGCCTGAATCTGCTAGCATCAGCTGATGCGTCGTTAAGTTGATGAGCGCTCAGTTTTGTGATCGCATGATGGGTCCTTTGAAAGGAAAGAATGGGACAAGAATCCAGCCTCTCATTAATTCTTTTCTATTTCCCTACCCCTCATTTTTAGCCACAGTGATCTGTGTTTCTTTTAGTCCTTGTTCATGTGGGGACTGCAGTACAGAACACTCAAGTAGGTGACAGTAAAACCACAAAACATCAGATGTTGCTCCTTAGTTGTTTACTTCTGGGGCCTGTTCCAGCCAGTACAGTCACTCGCCCAGGACGGTTTCAGGGTTAACACACAGATACGTGCTAGGGTGGGTTCTAAAATATGAGGGTGGGGCTGACTTCTCCCGTTGCAAGAGAAGTTCTCACCTGAATAAGAAGAGTCGACACCCAGTATGGAGAAGATGGTTGCATCCTGCTTGGGTAGAATGATAAGGCAACTCCCCAATCCCTGCTGATGAGACCAAGCCACAGAAGTCAAATTGACAGCTAAAGGAACACTGTGTGACTTTATTGAATACATAGCATATTATAGCACAAACTTGTAGGGAATACATTTTAATTTACAAATACTAAACATATGTATAACATATACCATACAGTGTTTTACAATGTCATTCTTGCAAATATAGCAAACTTTGGATGAAACTTTCAAAAAAATGCATGTAGTAATTTTGCATCGTTATATAGAGTTATGTATTTGGTTTACAAATCATTGAAACTAACAGACTGTGAATTACATTAGCTGGACTTCAGGGCTAACCCAGTGCAAAAGAACCAGAAGCTCTGAGGTCACAGAAAGATATGTAGGTGGTTTTGGAAAAGGGTAGAGAACTCTGCACTAAGGACTTGACTGGGACCAGTAACATAGGGATAGAGAGCAGCTAGCTCAGTGTGATTAAGATGAAAAGAGACTTTCAAACCCAAATCGCCCCCTTTGTGTTTATGTAATGGGTAGCTACAATGTGTCCTTGCACTTCTGGCATATAAGGGTGATGCATCAGTTAGACTGACTGTTGCATTAGCCCCCCATATACAGTTTCGTCACCACTGCCATGCATGCACACACAGTTGCACTGGCAGCAGAGAATTGAAAACTCAGCATCTTTTCAAAGGGCTTTACAGCTCCAGGGACTACTTCTTGGATGCAGTTTCCATAAGCTGGGGGTATAATAGGCCAGAGGAGGCTAAGCCTCCCCTGGTGCAGACGCTGCTCCCCTGCCACCGGACACCTGGGCCATGGTGGCCCCGCCTGCGCTCCGCCTCTTTCCGTCCCTGCTCTGCCCCTTCCCCGAGGCCCCCACCGCCGCCTGGCTGAGTCCCTCCTCTCCTGCACTCCACCCCACACGAAGCCCCCACTGCTCACCACTTCCTTGTGAGCAGTGGGGGCCTCGCGGTGGAGGGGGGGCATGGAGAAGAGGAGGGATGTGGGGAGTAGTGGGGGGGAGGGGCTCGTAGGGGAAGAGGGTGGAGGAGAGGAGAAGGCAGCAATCAGTGGCAGGGGGAGCCGAGTGGGGAGGGGGGCCAAATGGAGGTGGGGCCTGGAGCAGAGCGGGGGTGGAGTGTTGGGTGGGGCCGCAGGCGGAAGTGGGAGCTAGCCTCCCCCAGGGGAAGCTTCAACCACCACCGTGGTAGTTCCTCTGCATCCCTGCCCTCAACTCAGACTCTGGATATGAACGACCTATAGTTCATAGAATTTATAAGCAGCTTGCATGATCATACCTGTGACATTCCATTTCACCACTTAGGCTGTATATGGCTCCAATTATTTAGCTGTAAAAATATGTATTTGGGAGGAGAGTGTTGGCTTCTTTTAACAGTGTTGATTTATCAGCCAAGCTGGCCAAATTTCTGGCCAAGTATAATTTGATTAGGGAAGTATTGAGAGGCATTTACCTTTATGTATCACTGATGACAGGGAAGCAATTAGTAAATTTATGAGGATGCTACAAAGCCTAAAGCACACAACATAGGGATTAAAATGTCTAATACTCCATTGTTTGATTCCCCCCCCCCCTCTTTTCAGGCTGATTTCGACAGTGCTGCAGAAGATGTAAAAAAATTAAAAACGAGGCCAAGCGATGATGAGCTGAAGGAACTATATGGACTCTACAAACAATCTACTGTTGGAGACATTGATACTGGTACTTTATATGTGTGTGTGTGCATAACCCCACCACCACCACGACACACACATTTAATTCTGTAAATTTACTAAAACTAAACACTCTTTAGGTAAAATGGTATAATAACAAGCAACAAATGTTTGTGGAATTTTTTGTTTTTTTTTCGGCAGAGTGTCCAGGAATGCTAGATCTGAAAGCCAAAGCCAAATGGGAAGCATGGAACCTTAAAAAAGGTGTTTTTACCATTAAGTTTACACTAAGTAATCAATGTTATAGAATACCAAATAAGGAAAGGTAATGACTACTATTTTCCTTTGCAGGTTTATCAAAGGAGGACGCCATGACTGCCTATATTTCTAAAGCAAGAGAGATGATAGAAAAATATGGGATCTAAAATACTCCACAATAATTCCCATAAATAATTCATTAACTTTTCAGTAGCTAATGAACTAACTCTTTTGAGGAAAAAAATGCAAAACTAACATTTTCGTGTTTAGTTTGACACTAAGATTTACCAACGTGAGTTAATTACCTACAAGGGAGTATTTACACATGCACTGTACTTCTTAAGACACTAACTGTACTTATTTTAAATACATTTTTACCTACAAGATTTATTTAGGGTTTTAAACGGTCTCTTCTTTTCCCTTTTTTTGAGGAGGCAGAAAGATCACATTCCTCTTCCTATCCAGCCAAAGTAAATTCTGAAGACAAAACTACTTACCTGTCTTTTTTTCCCAAAAGATGTAATGGGATACAGAGAGGGGAATTTAAAAAGAAAGAAAAAGAAGAGTAGTTTTTAAGATAGCTGAGTCAGGCTAATGAGGTCTCAAAGAGTGCCGATTTAAAGGAAACATTAGTTACTTCCTGGATCCAATAATGGATAAATATACTTGTGCAAATATATCTCCCTTCTGTTAGGGTATGTCTACACTACCCGCCGGATCGGCGGGCAGTGATCGATCTATCGGGGATCGATTTATCGCATGTAGTGTAGACGCGATAAATCGATCCCCGATCGCTCTGCCGTCGACTCCGGAACTCCACCATGGCGAGAGGCGAAAGCGGAGTCAACGAAGCCGCACCGCGAGGACGTGAAGTAAGTAATTTTAATTCGATCTAAGATATGTCGACTTCAGCTATGCTATTCTCGTAGCTGAAGTTGCGTATCTTAGATCGATTCCCCCCCCCCCAGTGTAGACCAGCCCTATTACAGTCATAGAAATGCGGGTGTAGAAAAACTACATTTTAAATGGAAATAACTTTGGGTCCCTCCCACCCCCACAGAGCTTATTCTTGCTTAGATGCTTTATTGGGCCAGATTAAGCTATGGTAAAGGCAGAGGGAAGCCACTGAAGCCCGACATACTACCTTTGCAATGCTTTTAGCCTACCATCCTCCCACCAGCCCCAAACTATAACCACCACAGGGAAGCAAATTAATGTACTGGCTGTTTATTTTTAAGAATCAGAATTTTCCTAAGTATCATCATAAATTATATCCTGGAGAAACCTTTGGCTGTAGGATGCACCTGTATTAATACATCAACTGTTAGCCCTGTTGCTACAGAAAGTTGCTTACCTTGCCACTGTGATAGTTGTAAAGTTGTATAGAAAATGTTTTGTATTATTTACTGCTTTGGACTAATCTTTGACCCCTCTCCCAGCAAAATAAAGACATATACTCAGAGATCAACAGTTTCTATACATTTTGTCATATGGTCTGCCATGAAAATTTCATTAGCAGGGTCCAGCAGATAAAAGTGTCCTCCAGGAAGCTTGTGAATACTGGTATCTCCACTTGTTACATCCTTCCATGCTGAAAGAGAATTAAATATGTAAAGCATGAGAGAAATATCAGCTTGTGTAATTGTTTTTCATAACTTGTTTCAAGATTATTGAAATCTTTCTAATTCCTTATGAATCATTCTGGCTCATATACTGCAAGAATCCTTCATATTTCCATATCAATTAAAATGAGATTATGGACAGAGCTGCTCATTAATCTGATTCAACAGAAGTATAGCTAAATATTAAAGGCAAAGCACGCTACTAGTTACCTTCTAAATCATATGGCAAATCTTCAGACCCACTAAAGCATGTAAGGTCACAAGAGAGACCATCCATTACCGGTTCCTCAGAGCTGTGAATATAAAGGAGAACTTGAATCTTTCCACTCTAGGTTCCCCCTCCAAACACAAAATATCTTTTTCTTCCCCCTCTAAAACATAATAAAACACTTTGCCAATGTACTCTTTAGTACAGAATGCAACCTGCTATTTACTTATTATAAATGGGATGGGGAAGAACTGAAGGAGAAGGAGGAGTTCTACCTTTAAGATTCTAGGCTGGATCTTTAATTATGCTGTTGTTTCTATTACACAAATGCTTTTATCATGGAAACAAAGATTCAGGGACAAAAATGGGAGAGCCTTGTGTGATAGGTCTCAGTACAGGTGAATGTTCTATTTTAGACTATGAATGAATAGTCCTAGTCTCAGAATATACTGTAAAACTGTACTACTTACAGAAAGGACTGCATAACTGCAAGATCTGCTCTTAATGCAGGAATGAAGTGTTTCATAACATTTTTGTTCTGCAGAAAGTCAGGAGGAGTACCACCAAGAGACTGTATCACTTTGATAATTTCTTCTTCGTCTTGGTCTTTTATCGTGTGGAAAGGATAACAATATGTTATCTGAAAGCATCATATAAAATATATTAGGTGTTTCATAAAATACACTGTAAACAACTGTCCCTAAAAGATTTAAGTCTTAGGAAAGAAGCTTAAAGAACATCTAACCTGTAGTGTTTTCCCCTGTCCCCAATATAATAGTTGCATTATGATTTAGGGGCTGGTTGGTTTCAGAAGTCACATAATCTTTATAGAGATGATAATCTTGGAGTGGAAAAGAGGCTGCCCTAACACATCTATAGAACATGCTGTACTGGTTATTCAGTGGACTATAACAAAAGGCATTGCTAAAGCTTTGTGTCTGTCTCTTGCTGCTAGACAATAGTTTCTGAAAATGTAGCTTGTGAGGGAGACAGAAATATAAAAGCTATTCAATTTTTGGTGTGAATTTTTTATTCTAAATGCTGAAACCAAACTACCAAAATAATGTCTTTATCAGAAAGCGAAGCAGAACTGTGGACATAAATCCAGCTGCAGTGGTGCTTGAGGGACCCATGGGCCCAGAAACTTTGCAGGAAACATTGTTTTCATGGAGGGATGAGATGTCATCCAAAAACACTGTTTCTAAATGGCCTGGAGGGAGGTGCAGTAGGTGGTGCATGAGAAGCAGCAGCATGGGGAAAATAGCCAAATCCCTGCTGGTCCCCTGAGAAGAGTGGCAGAACCACCAGGAACTCAGGAGTGGTGAGGAAAGAGGCAAAGCCACCAAAGAATGGGGTTGGGAATTAAGGAGAGGGCAAAGGTACCAAGGACTGAGCAGGAGGTCCAGGAGAGGGTGCTATGTGTTAGGAGGGTGATGTACACTTCTATTTCTGGGAGGAAGGGTATGCTGGGTTTTGCCTGGATGCCTATCTGACTAGTAAGTGCATCACCGTAACAGGTAATGTGAGATGCTCTAACAACCTCAATTTAAGCTCCCCACAGATAATGGAATATATATGCATGAATCCTCATGTGCAGTGGTTGTCTTTTCTCTATAGACTTTACTAAATTCTGCATGCTAGGGTAGAGTCAGCTGCACTTTGGAAGGCCAAAGCAAGTAATTTATACATGATAGTTGTATAGCTAAATACTATTTTATTTCATATTATCAAAGATTATATCACTTACATGTGGGGCATCTGCGCTTGATATAAAAAGATGCTCTGGTTGTAGTCCATATTTTTTTTTCAAGTGTACTGCAACTGCAAAACTAACATATGATCCAAAACTGCATTTAAAAGAGAAGTCAAATTAATCTGACTAAACGTATCTTGCAGGACAACATTTAAACACAGTTAGAATCCCAACTCTAGTAAGGTGCAATTACTGTGGTAAACATTCTTAGAAACCATAAAATGGTACCTTGGAGCAGTGTGTTATAGGTCTCTAATTATGAGAAGTAACTTTAAAGAGTAATGATGTTAGTCAATTCACATGTAAAAGAGAAATCAGATAGCAGATCAGACCTAGTACAGCACTTTTGCTTCTTTCACTGTTCCACTTTGCTTTCAGTATGAATGAATGTTTTGAATATTCCTTGAAAACTAAGTAACCTTCAAAAGCCATTTGCTCTTCCATTATTAGTGTAAGCAGCAACATTACTATTAGGAGTAAACAGTCATAATCTAAGTAATGATTATTACACTAATACACTTATTTAGAAGGTATCTGTACCTGAAAGGTTCTAACCCTGACCGATATACATAAACAACAAGAATTTCAAAAAAGCAACAGAGAAAGGATGGTCCAGTGGTTATGGCACTAGCTTAGCCTGAGCGCAAGTCCCTGCTCTGCCACAGACTTACATCATGACCTTGACCTAGTCATTTAGTCTCTCTGTGTGTTCATTCCCCCTCTGTAAAATGGGGCTAGTAGCACTTCCCTGACTCACGGGGGTAGTGTAAGGTTGAATGCAATAAAGATTATGAAGTTCTACAATGAGGGGGCCATATAAATACCAGAGAGAGATCATGGCCATAAGCAAACAGATCTCAGAAGTGGCATAACTTATCCCCCCACATCAGTGCCACTGATGTACTTTGGCATGTAGTGTGGCAGGCATTCTACAGACAGGTTGTTGACTGAAAGTACTCTGCCTCAATGGAACTGTGCCCATGTACACCAGCAGAGGATCTGGCCTGCAGGGTGAGACAGTGAGCAGTTCCAATTCTGTTTGTTTCACATGTCACTCTCGGTGATAAGGCCAAACACTGTGCAGCCCAGAGAGTGGTCATTTATTAGTGAAGGCTTTATGTTATACGTGCTTTGACAGGCATAAGCTCTGTAATATGTACTAGCTGACAGTTGGCTTTCAAGGATATCCCAAAGCAATTCATTGCAGTAAAACACAAAGGTGTGGATTACTATGGAGACATCTCCATTCAGAACAAGTAAGCTTCCAATATTTTGAAAATGGAAAAAGCCACTTGGGCCTCCATATTCCACTTATGGTCATAACTGACTGCTCAATCATGAATCCAGTTCTGTAAATCCCATTAAGAGAGAGGAGAGCTACTGAGGAAGAAATATGCCCCAGAAGTTTTCCACTATCCAGAAGCAATAGCTCAGTCTTATCTGCACTGAGCCTCATCCACCTGTCCCACATCCATCCTTGCAAACTCAGCTAGGCAGGAAAGGCACTGCTCTGTTGCAGGGACACAGTCATGTAGATCTGGGCATACTGCAGATATCTCAGGGTGGGTATCATATCAGTTCTCTGAGTGGCTCCACTTGTACACTGAACAACAAAGATGACACATGATCACCACTAGAATCCATATCGAGGTGATTTCAGGATAGGTGTGTAATCACCCAAGCTCCACATCTGCAAGTAGATCTACTCTGGAACTATCCTAGTAGGACAAACAGCTCCTTGCAGTTGATGGTTTCAAAAGTACTCAGCAGATTTTTCTACTGGTAATATCAGACTGTTTCACAGAAATGACAGACACTACATACCACTTGGCTATACCACAGCCCCAACTGGATTGGTATATATCAAATAGTCTCCTTCCAGGCATATGCTCATGAAGTAGACCCAGTTTAGCCACCATTCCTTATAAAAAAAGGGAGGTCAGAGTCTAGGTAATAACTAAGCACAATACTTAGTTTCAACAACAGGATATTGAACTAATACATAATAGAGAATAACTGGCTAGATGGTTGTACTCCAGAAAAGGATCTGGGGGTTATAGTGGATCACAAATTGAATATCAGTCACAATGGAAAAAACTCTTTCATAGCTCTAGTGTCTACAAATGTGCTGCTGTAGCACTTGTAGTGTTGATCTTCCCTATGATTC